CTGTAATTGAAACACCGTGGACTTTTGCTTGGCATTTGGAGAACAAATGTGCATAAAATCTAAAGGAACAAATATCCTCTAAAAACAAGGACATTTTATATTGAGCTGATGGTGTTGAGAAAAGAAAATGTTCTGTTTGATGAGAAAACAAAAACATTTTTTATAACATTAACCCAAATTATTCATATAGTTTCAATGGGTAGTTTTTTTTAACAAGTCATAATTTGGACCCTTCACTTTAACAGCAAAAATAAATTACTTTTTTCTCCTCAAAATAAACCTAGGAGAGATTACCACAGCAGCTTCAAATAAGATCTGTTGGAAACACCACAGTAAATCTGCTACATATGACCAGTCTATGCTGGCTGGAGTAGGCATTTCTTGGAAAATCTGCTGTGGAAAATTCAAGATACATAAATGGTCTGTCGTAACAGGAACAACTGATGGGTGCTGAAGTTTATACTCTGCCCTCTCTTCCATCCCACTGTAACTCCCATTCTTTTCCTTACAGATAATATTAAAGATGTAAATTAAAGACCACGGAGATCAATTATGGTGATGTAAAAAAAATGTTAAGAAAATCTTACGGGCATGGTTTCTCCTCAGCACCTGCATTCTTGTGTAAACATTCAGCCGTTTTTCCTGCCCATCATTACATTTACCTCCTCCCCCACATCGGCTTTTCTAGCTTTTAAATGTCACTCAGGCCGAAGGCAGAGTCTTCAACAAGTCTCTGCTTCCTGCCATTCTACACCTGTAAGAAGTGAACCCCGTAATGGATCAATTTCTGTAATATCTAAATCTCTCTCGTTTGTTCATTTCAACCCTGAAGTGCCTTCATTTCTACTTGCTGGGAAGGAGGGAGTGGGTTTGAAATTAGTATTTTTTAAAATCACCAATAATTTTGTCAAATACATTCTCCAGATACAAGAAAAAATAATTTCTTTACTATTATACTTTTTAATCCCACACTGAGCCTTTTTCTACAAGTTCTGCTCTTGAAAATACCCAACAATCGTTATAAACAAGTTAGCCTTATTCCCCTGACATGCAAAGCGCTATGAGTTTAATCAAGCACACACACACTCACTTTGTCTTCCTAGATGCAAGACAAATGCTCATGTTTTCACATTTAATTACATTTTTCTCCTCGAATTTTAAAAAGTAATTTTTTTTCCATCACAGTGGTCCACCACATCTGGTTTCGACAGCCCTTCGTGCAGTCACACTCACCAAGGCTTTGAGCGCACTACAAAGCAATGAGTCTCAGTGAGGGTAATGCAACATCTATTAGATAAACAGAGCAGCTGTTACGCACTTTACAATAACTCACAGCAGCCCTGAGCGTTAGGATCTCTTTTCTGAAGGGGTGAATGTTTCCCAGGACCCTGAGGTTATCCACCTGGCCCACAACCAGAGAAAAGCGGGACAATTTAATGTCCCGAGCACCTCCAGCAGTGAAGTACTGCTCTGCAGTACAACACTATTTATGGCCAAGGAAGGACTGTGTGATTCACTGGAGGGTTTTGTTTAGAGCAAAGAGGATAAAGGTCTCTGAAGTAGTACTGTAACATCAGTTTCATTTTCCAGATATAATTTGCACAAAGTCTCCTGTATTTCCTTTTAAAAAAAAAAAAGCATAGACTGGTTAGTTAAAAATGTGCCAAATTATTTTTAAAAACTGGTATTAGGACTTACAGGAGTCATTCAGTCAAAACTTGTCTCTTCTTTTATGATTCCTTTGGTATCATTTTTTAAAAATACATATTAGGGTTGAAACTGGCCATCTGATTTTTTTTTCTTTAACAATTACCTCTATTAGGAAGCCCCTCTATCCCTTCAATTAAAAAACATAAGTAAGTGGTAGAGCAGACGGACAGAAGGGATATTTGGATGTGATACAAAATTCAAGACAAAAATCACCTCACTTAACTTGAAATGTTACATGAAATGAATCCTACACAAAGTATCAAAGAAATGCCCTGAGTTAGATCAGCTGAGAATTTGACCTGAGGATTAAAATGAGCTGTGGCTATTTTACTGATGCTGCGTACCTCTGGTTCCCACTGAAGTCACTGGAAACTGTGGATGCTCAGAAGCCATAAAAACTAAACCATTATCTACTATTGTTTTTCATACTTAAGCTGCAGGATGATTTGTATCATGAAATACTATACATTTCCTCAATGTGGCACCTTTCCAGCAACTTTGTCTCTCAGTCGGCTCCTGATTTTATGCCTTTATACATATACGTGTTTCTTAGTACAAGCCAACATTTAAAAACAATAAAAGAATTCCCTTGCCTGAAGAAAGAGAGAAAAACTCACATGAGAAACTCCGATTACACTTGGGAATGACGTGTTTCACATGACTGTGACAACATACCACACTGCTGACAGCCTCGAGATCCTGTGCTGTGGCAAGCTGAAAGAAATCCTCTGGCTGCTGCTGACCTGCATATTCTTCTTCAGACCAGGAAGCCCATCTTTTATAGAGCTGTGGTCAATTCAGGCACTTTACCAGCACCCGTTTATTACTATCTCCCCAACCTCTCTTTAGTCTCTTCTCTCCCTTTAACCTGACTAAATGTTATGGCTACATACAGCTCCAAGCCCTGAACCACTTCAGTTCCAACATGTCTCCCCTCAAAATCAGTAACAGGTTTTCTGTAACACAGTAACTAAAACAACATGTAATATTCTAACTCAGGTGGGACTTCGGGTAACAGCATCAGCAGAGTCTGTGTGCCAGATATCTCTTTTAGTATAATTCCTTTCAGCGTGCACTTGGGTTTACCTTGTGCTGACTACTTTGGGGTTTTTTTGTAAATGCCATATTTTTCTGGACTTTTTTTTTCTAAACTGAACTCTAAACACATCACAAGTAAACAAGACAAAGCAGATAAATGTGCGATATCTGTGGAACTAGTCAAAACAGATGTCCTCTTCAGATGGATAAAAGATTTCTGGGGCCCATTTGCTGCTCGCTCTTCTTTTCACAATCCTGTATCATTCTTATTCTCATCACCATCCCGATTGTCAGAGTATACCCCCCTCAGAGCCCCTCCCAGATAGCTCCCAAATTCCTGCTCTCACCTCAGGGTCCCCCCTCCTTCTCAGGTCTGCCGGTATTCAGAAATGTGATGGGGTGTTCCCTTACCAGGGACTAAGCCCTTCCAGGTGGTCTAGGACACACTGAATTCCAGCTCATGTTTAGACCGGAGACACTGGACTTCAGAGGCAGGATTCACCTCTCGTTAATGCACAGTCTAGGAGTCAGGTGTCTCAGGTATACATCTGACATGCATCTTCACATCTAGTCTCCTTCTGCCATCAGAGGACAGAGAGAGGCAGGACGGGGCACCTGGACACACATCTACCTCTCCCTACCAAGCACAGGGGGTGCCTCAGCACCTAGCTTTGGTCACCAAAGTCTTGTCTAGCTACTGTTACCAAAGATGAACCCTGATATACGTTATCTATACTTTTTCAAGGGGTCTTGATGTTAAATGACCCCCAGTTTACTCAACAGAGGCAGCCTTCTGCCCACCAGAAGTTTCTGTCATAGCCGTTTGCTTGCAGTTGCAGCAGATAGCTTTGGAGTTCACTGCAAGATTAGCTGGCCTGTACTAAGCTGAATACAGGAACAACAAAAAATTCACCAGTGCAGTCAGTGCAGAGATATACAAAACAAACCGAGTTCAACAATTTTAGTTGTATGTGCTCTTCCTTACACCACTGGTCCTACTTTTTTATACAAAGACGTAAGGTACCAAGTAACGGATAATTTATAGCAGTCTTTCCTATGTTCCGTAACAGGCAAGCTGAAGATACGTTTCAACAGTAAGTAAAGAACAAAGCAGAGTTAAGAGATGATTAAAGTCATATCTGTATCAATACACATTCAAAGAAACACTGAACTTAAGCAATGATTGCTTAATTTATGATTGGTACACACTGTAATGTGGGCCAAAAATAAAGGCCACCCAGAAGCAGCTGCTGGTGAGGCATGCAGTGGTCTCTCTTCCCAGCAGGAACACTTGACATAAACACGTTAGTGCTCCACACACAACATTTATTGTCAATCAAGTTACAGAGCTATTTAATGGTCTTTTTCCTTAACTTCAAAGAATTAAATGGGATAGGGCCAATTCGTCTCTGGAATCACCTCTCTCTCTCCCTACCACATCTGCTGTGCTCAGAGGGGGTTTCTTAGGCTGACAAAGCTCAGGTTTGAACTTGCCACGCTCTAGGATGGTAGACGTTCCCAGTCACAGGTCGGTAATTACGGAACTTGCTTCTACATGAGACCAGACAGAGTGAACCTTCTTGACATGACTTGGTTTATATTTGTGAAATTAAATTACTTGAAATCTCTAAAATATCTGGAGAAAGTTTGCACCCACATCCTAAAAATACTCTAAAGGGCCTAAAAAGGAATTTAATAATCGCTTAGAATAAACTATGTTCCAGCAGATGTAAGTGGGAGCACTGCCTCCGTAACTGCACTGTGACTGAAGACAAAGGCAATCCTGAGTATCTCATCCACCACTGCTATAGGGAACACACTGCCCTGGGGGCCTTGACAAGAATCACAAACCAGAGGCTTTCAGGAGCAGAGATGAGACTGTGGGACAAAAATCCAGAATGCTTTCAACTGAGAAAAAGTAGGTCTGGGGCAAAATTTCAGAACAGCTAGAGTGACACACTCAACTGCTTATGCTTAAGACGGTCTAATGAAATGGGTTGAATTACAAAGAGTGCAATTCAATTTCTGACAGCCTCAGACAGAGACAAGTCCCCGACAGTTCCCCAAACAAAGATTTTTTTAAAGCTGTTGATACAGACAACTGTAATGAGCCAACCTAGAGTGGAGGAAAAAGGAAGGTCCTGTGCCCAGATGAATAAGTGAAAGATTATATTATTACTGACAGTGCTATAATGGGTGCCAAAGACAAGACAGTGGCCACAAGAAAACAAGTTATCACTCTCAATACCCACCTCATTAGTAACTGAGAGAATTGACAGTGCAGAATCACAGTACTTCAGTGCATTGGTTTTCTGGCCAAGATCTTTATAGCACTGAGAAGAAAAAACATTTTGTTTCCAATCAGACCACTGTAGGAATACCAGAGTCTACAAATCATTATTTTTAAAAGAACTGTGTTACCTTTGCCAAATACACATAATTGTATTTGGAATAGCCTGGATGCATTTCTTCTGCCTAGATAATAAAAAACAGGAAAGAAAATAGACATAAAACTTGTGTGATGAGATTTATGTGGTCTGCATTTTTAGTAATGCACTAAGCTTCCTCAAACATCAGACTGACTCATCCCTACTGTGTGTACCTCAATCTGTTTAGCATTCAAAAAAAAAAACCACTCACCCTAAAACCTCAAGAAAATAAGAAACCCCAACACTCAAACCCTAAACCAGGTACATGAAGTGCTGACACTGAATGCACAAAAATGTTCTGTACTGCTTGCTCTCCTCTCTCCCTAAGTGCGCTGTAAAAATATCGGATTGTTCTACAGAACATTTATTAGAATCATTAACTTACACAGTGCGTTGGAATACACAGCTCTCTCTAGATTATTAGTATTTAATCCCTCATCAAATAAATAAACCAGCAACCAACCATTCACATTTTGTGGAATGGGTAATGAACTGTATTCGTCAACTTTATAGTTGTTCTTTCACAGATCCATAGCTTCTAGCTCTGGGTTCCCCTTTCTTTTCACATTACCATCTTCTAAAAAGTGCAGGTCATTAAAAAAGTTCAAGATTGTCTTCCTATTAAAACACATCAAGGATGTGGAAGCTACCAATTATCTACTAAACATGAAGCAGCTTTCATCAACGGGAGAGAAAAATTACTTAAGTGAAATTTATGTTAGTTGTAGTCCTTGGACCAAAACAATGCTGCTTTTACCACAAGTGTGTATTATCAAACAATTGAAAAGGAAACCCAAGAAGTTGTCTTCTAGACAGTAATTTAATTTTTGTTGCAGAAGATGACTTAAAACCACAGTTACTCTGCAGCCCACCACAAAATGCCCTGAAGCTACAGTGAACATATCAAATTATTTCTACTGCCTTTGGAGCTTGACCTTAAAGATAAAATCTCTTAAACTGGGGAGATGGTAACGTATTGCATTGTTGAAAATTCAGGAGACCATTCTACCTTTAATAGGCTAAGAACACAGAAAACAAGCACTTTTGATAGTGAAGAAAATACGCTCGTCCAATTCCTTTGAGAAACCGTCTGAAAGTAATTGCAGTGGTGGAAGTTTACGCTTTGAATTCAGTCAAGTGGAAAACTTGTATTTTTCAGCTCCAGAAGTAGAAATGATTCACATAAAAGACACTGAAAGAAAAGTTTATTTTATTCATGTGGTATTTTCTCATTACTGTGCATTCAGGCAGAACGCCCAGGAACATGCACCTATATGAGCGCGCTTCCTTTTCTGCTTCCCTACCAAGGTAATTTCATCTCCACAAACAAGAAAGGCTTCTACTGAAATTCAAAGGAAAGAGCTTCAGATCGGAAAAAGAGAACTGCCATAATGTCAAAGTTTTCCTTGCCTATGTTTACCCTCTCGCAGAATCATCAGTTATGGCTCTGGTTAATTTGTTTCAGTAGCAGATACAACTAATCGAGATCCATCTCACATTAAGTCCAATAATTATTAACCATGGCAAGTCATTGAGGAAAAAGAAGAAAGGTGCTATCCACTCATCTCCAAACTAATTTTAAAACAGAAAATACATTTTAGCCTGGATTTATAGCTACTGAGCATAATCTCTTGAGCAGACATCCTGACAACAGTCACGTATAGCAGCTGGTAAACAGTCACACAGGAAAACCCTTGGCTAGGACTTACCTTCAGGAAATTCTGTAATGCTGCTTCTACTGTTGAAGTTGGTGGAGTCCCAAAGAGAGCAGCAGCTACTTTCTTTTCAATCCAAGACAACTGAGCTACCTGTAATTAAGAAAAAAAAAATCAAAAGTTTTTAGGGTTACTTCTCAGTTTTGGCACTGTCCTGTGCCACTCTACTACTTATATACCTTATTTTGCAAAAGAACCTGTAAAGGAATGTTTTATATTGTCAATTTGCCAGCTCAAAGTATAGTCTTTTGAATTTTAGATTGTAATAACAGGAAAAGGTACACATTAAGAAATACATGACAAACCACCATAACTGATATGAGATTATTCTGATGCAAAAAGTTGAAGCACACTTTAGGTTTCATAAGACCTTGCCATTTTTTAAAACTTAAGGCTAGAAATACTGCTTTAAACCTGTTAAGGTTTTAATGAGAGACAGTGCTTAGCACAATAGTTCATGTACTTGACTACTTTTCAACATTACGAAAAGCTGTTGCTGCAGTCAAAATGTGGGTGCTTTTGGCACTTGTGAAACAAGTTCATTTATTACACAGAAGCTGGTGACAACCACTGTTAAGAAGTAGGCTTCATTATTTCCTTTTCTCATCTGACAAATAACACTTGCCAAAGACCTTGTTTCAGGAGGTGGGCTGCTACAAAAGGACTTCAGGGAACTGTCATACTGCCGCATGAGGTACATTACTTCTTCCCTTACATAATTACGTCTGACAGAAACTGCTCTGGTTACTGCCATAAGGTATCTGGCTCCATCACCTAACCTGGCAAAACACAGATCTCTGACGAAGGATGGAGCTGCTAAGAATTGCAATGTGAGACTGCAGCCTGCTGAAACAGAGAAGCAAAGCCACAGTCCTTTGGACACTTCTACTACATCTGTAAAGAAAAGTCAGGACTTGATTCCTTCCCATCCACACTTGAACCACAGCACTGATGGCTCCTGTCACAGAGTACAGCTATGTTTAAAAATAGTATCAAACAAGGGTTTGTGTTTGCCTAGCAATTTCTGGCCTGATCTATGCAGAAGCAACAGAGGAGGGATACACGCAGACAAAGAAAGAGAGCCTCTCATCAGAGACGTGGAGATGAAATGAGAGTCACATAGGGACGTGTCTTTTTCAGAGGGAGCTGCAATTCAAATGAGGGAGTTGAGCCTTGAACTCAAGTCTGTCCTACTGCTGTAAAAATGAAAACGGTTTTGGATAGCTTTAGATTATTCCTACCTCATTCCCTAGCTTCCCAATCTCTGGGAAGGCTGCTCGCTCTGCCTTCTCCAGCTAAATCCAACAATTATCCAGCACATGTCAGGTAATTATGGTAAAATATAGGTATCCATCCACACATGACTCTCCCCAGCCATCAACCAGAATGCCTCTCCGTTGAGCAGACATCAAGCTCTATGTATTTCTTGTTGCAATCTGCCCTAAAAACACCACTGCAAAGAGCACAAATACAGGCCAGGACGCAAAAGGAAAACGCACAGGGCCAAGTTTTCTCACATGGCCCCAAGGAGTCTAGCTACATGACAGCAACATTGCTTGGAGACAGAAGGCACCCTGGTCAAGTCTTGCTGGTCATTCAGCAGGGCCCAATGCCTTATTTTTAAAGGCCATCAGCAAGTCTTTCCACTGAAAATTATATTCCAGAGAGAAACAATATTAAGAAAATAAAGCTTTTTTCATTCTCTTTCTCACATATCCCACTCCTGACGCCTCTTCTAAGGGAATAAAGTGTTTTTTACGAAAGCTCTCCAGCAGTCCCAGAGTTCTAACTCACTGAAGCAACAAGATGTTTCCCCTCTCCGCACTGCAGTGCTTTCACACTGTGTTACAAACTGCAGCATGCTGGTGAAAACTTCAAATGGCAGGTATGTATACAATTCCCTCACACACTTCATCTCCCTAGCTGCTCTAGAGTTTGAGACATGTTCTGTGAGAGACAGCAAACGGATTTTTTGCATACACTGCACAGATACAATTACCACACATGCGTCTGCTGTTATGCAACGGTGAGGAAACAAAACTGCAGTTTTTCCACGAGGAGTTATAATTACCTATTGAAAACACAAGTTCTTCCTGGCAGTTGTTTTATTTTCTTACGGAATTTAATCAGAACTGATTTACTGAGGTTTTAGTTCTTACTTTGTCTGGTTTGGGTGTTGCTTTGCACTATTCAAACTTTAAAAAGCCCAAACATACATGCACTTGGCCATTTTTATATTACAAACCCCACCAGCCTAACACGACATTTAGAAGAGAAATGCATGAATGAACAATGATATTTTTCTTTCATGTGCACTGGCTCCAGCATGCCTGATGAACTCACTGCAGCTAACTCTAGCCATCCATAAATGAAGTGCCTCGTTTACCCGAGTTGTCCAGTTGCCTGCATGATCATTAAAGACAGAGACATTTCCATTAGGCAATTCCTCTTCATATTCACTAGCCTGGGATGAACGTTCCTCTTCCTTTCGTTCAGCTACAAAAGGAACATAGGCAACTATACCCTGTGGCTGGCTGAAGAGAGGTGAGGTGAACCCCGTCACAACAGCTTAACCATGCCTCTCCTGAGTCAGCCTGCACCCCTCTATGACTGAGGTGGGACAAATGGAAAAGAACTGTTTTATGCAAGGCACAAGATTATGTGCTGGTGCAATAATGGTGAACAGGAAATTATACCACTTCCCCTAAACACGCACAAGCACAGTTTTTAATTTGAAGTAACTTCATTAAGGTAAATCTTATGCTATGTTCAATCAAATGGAAACAGCATTCCTATTATACCAACTAACCTGATGAAGCATTCACTGTGCATGAGCAAGCACAGGCAACAGAAAACCTGGTGTAGCATGTCCTAGTGTAGTGAAAATTTGACTTCTACAGTCAAGGTTATTCCTAATAGTGCAAAGCATATCTGGAGGTCCATACAAAGTCAAGTACAAAGAGTCTGTAACTGTCATCAGCTTCAGCAGAACCATGATTTCGCTTAATGCACGATCCAAGAATGGTGTAGGACAGCAGAAAGTAGTAAGAAAAACAGCTACTGCAGCAAGTAATAGCTACAACAACAAAATTAAAGAATGAAGATTTCCCTTGCCCCATAGATGATTTCCAAACCTGAAGTGAGTTTGGGTTTTTCAGATCTCCCAAGCCTTGATGTCAGCCCCCCAACAGCCTGAAAATTCACAAGAGCACTGCAAGGAACACCGTGCTTCCACAGAATATCAGGTTTTAATGTACGGGGTCACTCAAGGAACAAGGGCCTGAGGGACCATCAGCCAACTTCAGAACTTCCCTAGGCTGGAGGGGAGTGGGTCACCACGACAGCCTGGCCTCTGCCAAGGAGAGGAGGCCACTCTTCAGGATACCAAAGCTAACAGAGACGCTTGTCTCAGCCTCTCCTAGAGATCTGCCAAACAGCAAGCTCTCATCCATTTATTCTACCCAAATCTCTACTAATACCAGAGATGGAAGAAAGTCACCCACAGAGTTAAACTGCAGCTGACCATAAAGTTCATACCCAGCACACTCCCATTGTTCTCCCCTAAATACTGGGAAAAGGGATTTCCTAACATCACTTTCTCTTCTTTAGCCTAGATCAGCAAAAATCACATCTGAACTAAAATACTGGCTGGAGTTTGGATTTTGTTTTTCATCTTCTGTTTTTGATAAGATGCAAACCCTGCCCATTGACAGCTCTTTTCAAATTCCAGGATGCTTGTACCAAGAAAACTAACACACTTGGCCTGAAAATTCAAACAGGATTGACTTACAGCCCTAAAGGATTTCCTCCTCGATGTTTCCTTGCTAATAGCTCGCTGAAGACAGATCACACGATTGTCTTCCATAAAGGAAAATCATCCCATTGATCCAGCTTCAGTAAAATATTAATGGCACCTACTTAAATATCCCCAGAGCTTTTTTTTCCTCTTTTTATTACAATATATTGATGTAAAATTGTATTAAAACATGTTGCAATGTTTCAACTTCTGGAAGAGATTAAGTAACTGGACAGCAGTTTTAAAATACTGGCTTCCAACACAAATATTCTCTTTCTTGCCAACTGAGGAACCACGACAGTCTGCACAGGCATTTAGGCATTTATCCAGCTTGAATTCCCTGGGCTTTTCACGTTACAGTAAGGGGAGCAGACTTACAGAGCACACAGCCAAAGGAACTGGGTCAATTTGTTCCCTGATGTAACCCTGTGATACACCAGATACTGTGATACACCGGAGATGAATCCAACACATGGCATGTAACCTGCAAATAGAAAAGCCCAAGAAATCTAATTTTTTAACACCCCGCTAGCATTTCCCAGAGGCTCTGATCCAGTTTCACAAGAATACGCTAACTTTCCTGTGACAGCCCTGTAATGGCAAGTAGCCGTAGGTCTTAACTAGATATAAGCTCCATTTTAAAGCTATTGTAAACATTAAAACACTAAAAAAAAACCCAAACCAAAACAACAACAAAACCCAGAAACACACAATTATAAAGTATTATCAGAGAATTGCATCCAAAACTCTAAGGAAAGAAAACTAATTCCTATAGGCCATGCACCACAGACGGATTCACTTCCAATACATATCTCTTGCTGATCTGAAGAGCAAAGCAGTTTTTCCCTTCCCTTAACAAAAACAAAGCTGAAACTTGAAAAGATCTAAACACCGTATTTATTTTAAATCATATGAACTAACTCAAGCATATATTCAAAACATCAAACCTTCCCTAAAAGATATGTACTTAACAAAGCCTATTTTGGTCACAGAAGACCGAGAGGAAGTAGTTTTGTCCACCACCAAAGGCATTGTAAATGACAATTACTTTGCTGCAATTGTTTTCCTTTGGCAGAGTAACATCTCTTTTACATACTAAACACTGGTTTCCTTTGCTTACTAGATATTTTAAAGTATCATCATTACAACAACGTGGTAATCATCTTATCCTAACATTATCACTAAAGCTACCCTAGAAAAAAAATCACCACTACGTAAAGTTCGCATAAGCTCTAGAAAAAGGAATATTAAAATGATATTTGGTAGGGTTCTGCAGTTACCCACTACTAGTGATGTTCAATTACATATGCTCAGTGCATAAATAAATAAGGGTTTTTTCTCCTTGTCACCTCTGCAAACCAAAACAAGAAAACGTTAGAGCTATACATGGCTTCTTGTATTCACAGCAAGTCTCACAGGCAAAATTTTGGCCGCCATGACATCCATGAAATGACTGGTGAAAAGTCTTGCCTACCCGACTGTGATACCAGAAGAAATTTTCTAACAAAGCTGAGAAGATACACACATCTGAACAGAATCTTCCTCTCTTGGACAGCTCTGCTGATTTTATAATGGTATGAAAAATAAGAAACTGCAAAATATGATTTTGAGACAAAGTGGCACACAACTGTCCCTGGCTCTGTATCAGGGACAAAGCCCCACTGCTGCAAGGCAGTGAAAAACCCAGCTCATCCCTCCTGCTGGAAGGTGCGATGACACTTTGCATCAGCTTCGGATCTGGCCCAGCGAGAATAACTGCCGAGTATGAAACTTGGCACGGCTGTACCGCTGCTCTTTGCAAAGGACTGTGAAGGTGAGAAATGGCAGTCAGAGCCCAATTCTGGCACAACTCCTGGAATCAAATAGCTTTTACTAGGACAGCATGCAGTCTCTGGACATCGATTTCAACCTTCAATACATCTTCTCCATTTGCCTATGTTGTATTTTCTACCTAGAACTCTCTTCAGCTGATTGTTATTTGTGACAATGAACTGCAACCCTGAGTTACAATACTTGAAGCATCCCCTTTTACAGTCCCTTATGCTGTACCTATTTTTTCAGTTTGTCAGCCCAAAAAACAGTGCTAGAGGATAGTAATAAGATCCCCAAACATTAAATGGGGAGTGAATGGGAAATGTCTGTTTCCCAAAAGTGTTACCAAAGCCTAGAAAGTGTCAAACACTAGTTATCTTTTTTAACTATACTGCTTCAGGAAAAGAGTATGTGACTAAAACTAGACAATAATACCCCTGGAAGCAGCACTTATGAAGAAACATCTGTTGTGGCCAATCCTAACTTGACCCCAAAGACCCATAAATGTAAAAACTAACCTTCTTTCCTTAGTCATCCCTTTTTCTTCTCTAATTTCCTCACGTTGGACAACATAGTCTTCCCGGCCTCAACCACAGTTAGACTAAACTGAAAAAACAGAGGGTCTAAGAGGAGCATTATCACTCCATCTACAGGTACCACTGTAGAGAAGGAGCGACACATGAATTTTTCAAGCATCCTATCATAATCCGTACCCTGAAGAAGCATTTGGAACCAACGCCACGGCCAACAGTCTACTTTTGGGACAATTACCAAAGCCTGAAACACCACAGTCTGCACAACAGGACCTAGGAATTTGCCACAGCTTCTACAACTTTCTACATCACATGCACTGCCAAAACCTGTGTTAGTGGATCAGCACAGAAACCCATTTATACAGTCTGCTAAAACCAATGAGGCTATCACCAGCTTCACTGGGCTACGATTAAGATCTAACTTCCACAGTAGAGCCTCAAATCTCATGTTCCCAAATGATGGCCTCATCCTGCTACTGAAAGTGTGCAAATGACAGTAAGTTTTTAAGGGCTGACAGCCCCAGAAGTTAAAACAAAATATTATTCAGTCCTACACTTACATGTGTTTGTACTATGAAAATCTGTTTGAAGTGTTGCAGGTTACCACTTTGTCATGGCAGTCACAGAAGGAAAGAATTAAAAAAAAAAAAAAAAGAGAAATCAACCCTTAAATATTTCAGTGGCTACATCTGTATAGGTGGATTGTTTCACTTAATAAAATGGAGGCCAGGTCACACCCTCAAGCAAACGCTAATCTATGGCTTCAGTGTTCAGTAAGGAAGCCCTGCATAGATGCTGCAAGTGTGGAACATGAGCGTGTAATGATGTAACGCAACAAACCACATACATCAGTCACTCAGGTGATTGTCACTGAAATGAAACAAGAGTAAAAAATAATAGTGCAGTAAGAACAAAGTCAGGCACACTGAGACTACCTGTAGAGTTTCCAAAAGCGATAGCTCAAGTGAGAAATAAGCCATGAAAAACATCTGGGAGTGTTTGACATAAATGGAAGCTGCAGCCAGCTGTTGGACACAGCACAGTATCAAAATTCTCAGGGAATGACTGGTGAGAGAGATGCTCTTCAAAGCCAGGAGAGCAAGCATGCTACAGGACAATCTTCAGCAACTCACTTTTGCATAGCTAATGCCGATATTCAAGAATACAGTGTGATGAAAAGCAAAACGAAAAGCTCTTTGGAAAAGTTGGGGTCATTTCTTATTTAAATCAACTGAATAAAAAAAGGTAGCTGCTGAAAAGCTCTTTATAAGTTAAAGGTATGATCAAAAGAATTGCTGAAAGATTACTTTGCATTAAGTCATTGCAGATAAAGTCAAAGGCCGCAATGTATCACAGCAACTCCTTCTTTCCAGTTTGCAGGCACTTCGTAGTGACTCGCACTAGAAGGAGCTGGAGGGAAAAGGCAGAGCAGGAATTTGCTGCATGTTATTATTCCAAGAAGCCTCCCAGTGATCTTTTACAGCATAGATTGTGGAAGAACATTTTCTCCTGATGAAAGACTCCGCACAGCACTAAAAATGAAATAATAAGGATAGCCATCTGAGCCATCAAAGGTGTGGACTTAACAATAAGGCAACTCTCCTATTTAAAAGCACAAGCATCATTTCTCTAAAAAATACAAAATTAACAACAGCTAAGCTTGTAAAAGACTTGTTTTAATTTTTCATATATGAGTGCTTATCACTATGTCACGAACACAATATTTAAAAGCACATTTTGTGCTGGCCTGACACAAACTGTACCTTTGGCAAAACTTTTTGGCGAATTACAGATTTTTGTGCCTGCATCTTCACTGTGACATTTTCTTGGAATTTACCAAGCCAGCATGGCAGCCTTGCTCTCACAGACATAACCCCACAGCATTTAAGTGCCTTTAACTTCAGTTATGGATGGGGAATAAAGTGACCAAAAGGCTGTTACCAGTCCAAGGACACCCAGAAAGCTTGTGGCAGAATAAAGAACTGAAATCAAGGCTTACCATACCTTCCTCCCTTCCAAGTATCAATTACTTCTTATTCATGCATTCAGATAAGAAACCTGAACACCATGAGGGACATACAAGCACAGGTATCTTAATGTCCATGACAGGAATGGTAAGTGGTTAACACCACAGATGTGGAAGTTAATTCAGGAAACGTAAATGTACTGCTTCATTTAGCTCAAAACATCTACTTCACTAAACACTTGCTTTGTCTTAAGTCCCACTATTCCATTTCAAATGCATTTTTACTTTTCAGTATACTGAATTCATATCTCAGATAAAAGCACCAACTTACTGAATAGCACCATCTTCCATTTAGGTAATAAAGAAAGGGATCCTGAGGCTTCAGTTCAATTGCTCTGTCTAGGTGCTCCTATTAGAAAGAAAATCAGTGTCACTTTAGATGTTTGTTTGGCAAGTGTGTTTACATTCTAAGAAGTTTGCTGCGAATCATAAACAAATTCAGAATCCTCTTCTGCTGCAATTCATTTCTAACTTCCTAAAAATATTTTAACAAGCAAACTCCTTCCTCACGGAGGGAAACCATAGACAAAATTATTTAGCGACTTTGCACATAATGCAGGAAGACATACTGTATTTAGAACAGGACTAAGCAGCTCTAAAGTTCAATCAAAAAACTCAGTAACTTTTGCCTTAAAAAGGCAACAGCTTCAATTAAATTAATTTTATTTTCAGTTAATATTAGGAAACCTGTCAGACACCAAATCAGGGAGAAAGCAACTACTCCCTTTGATACATCTTACATGCAGGCACCCATCACGGAAGCCCAGTCTTTTCCACCCTGGAATGTGACTGCTCCATTGAAAAGGTACATGACACAACAAATTTTTACTATGATCTGTAATTCAGAAAATAAAATAGTTCTGTTTATAGTGAAAACGTAAAACCTAGAAAGCATCTAATGAGGTACTTCTTCCAAAACCATTTTCATTCCAGGTCATGAGTATCCTTATTTTACTCTTTAATTTACTAAAGGAAGCTCTTACTGCTCAACCTGAGTTTTAAGAAAAAATAAATGGTATTTTGCCCCTAACTACCATGTGTCTCTCAAAACAGATTTCACTTCTAAGGTCTCTTTTTATTTCATTATGGTAATGGTATCTGTTTTTCTAATTAAGCTGGTCACTAAAATATCTGACTTCTACAGATCTAAGAGCCTATTATGCTATCATTTTATCCACAAAGTATTCAGATAGGACCTGTATTTTCATGCTATTGTTTTCCCAAATCCTTAACATTTCAGTGATTCGCAGAGATTTCAGTAATTACTTCTGAATAGGAAAACCTCCCTGAAAAGACTACTACTAAACCACAGGTTTGGGATTTTTTTTAACTCCATCCTTAAACAACGGCAGGGCTTGTGTTACTTGCCATTTCCCTTCGCTCCTGGCTTGTCCCGCTGCTCAGGGCTTAGCTCGCTTGGCACAGCGCAGATGTCACTAACGCTCTCTCACAAGAAAGCTCCACCACGCCAAGCCTAACACAGACATGATGTGAGAGAGACCCATCCCAGACACTACCTATGAAGTGGAACATGTCTGCTGTCTCTCACTGACACCCAGGAAGGGGGACGCTGGCTCGGAGGGCAAGGGGTGGAAAGCGCCTAAGCGGTGCCGAGGACAAGGACGGGGAGTAGCACATGTAACACAAACTGCTAACTCTGATAAAGACAATGACCTTTGAAAGGACAGTGTTAAAACAAAAACTACTTAAGGGTGGCATGAAGGATGATTGCAGAACTGTGTTAGTTCATCACTATTTTTTTAATTTATATATTCACTATAGTTCATCACGTTCATCACGTTTTTACTTTCTAAACAGAATTGTTACTCCCTTTTCCTCTCCCCTTTGACTACAAAATAAAGCTGAAATCCAAATGCTGTTCCCAGAATCCTACCTCAGTTCTTACATTTTGTAAGCACATCATCTATTTGTATAATAAAAGTAACTTTTTCACTTTAACAATCAGCACCAAAAGAGACGCATGAGGCTGAACCACTGTGTTGGCAAAATAAGTCTTAGACATTCTATAAGGAAATAATTTAAAGGAATAGCTTAAAAAAAACCCCAAACCCTACTGAAACATACCTTAAAGAGATAACCATTCCTGATTTTGTTTTGTATACTTTCAAACTGAGACATATAGCCACACATAATTGCAAACCTGAGAGGGGAAAAGAAAAACACACACACATACTTTCGGTGATTTAAATAAACCTTTGGATCAAATTACAAAATATTTCAATATCTAGTTCACAGATTAACACCTGCTTTTCTTCCATTTGATGGCTGGAGAGAAGTTTGGCATGAGCTGTACATATTCAGGAGCAGAAAACAAAACAAAAGAAAACAAAAATGGGAACAAGAAGCTGCTTAAATGACACTGTTTGGGCTGTCAGTGACGTAAAAAAAACAGGGATTTCTCCTCCAAAATTTCTCCCTTTTACATTAGAGTGGGACACTTCCAGGCTCTCCAGCACTGACAGCAGTTTAACTGGATGCACCGCTCTGCACTGCAATGCCTCGGGAACATGAACACCATCAGCTGTGGTAACTCGCCCGGGAAGGCAAGTCCTCGGGGTGTGCTCAGCAGCAAGCTGTGCAGACCTCAAAAATCCTTCCCAGTTGTCTTCTATCCTTCTCAAGTGGTGCATTCTTTTTTTCTGCGCCTCCAGCATTCTTCCAATATCTTTGAAATTATTTCAAAACACACACACACATTCTGTTCTAACAGGATCACTACTACCATTATTAACTGCCTATTGTTAAAATAATTATTTTATTACTATTGTTATTATTATAAACTGGGGACACTGACAGTGGTAAAAGAAATGTGAGGTCATTTCTATTAAAAAATTTGTATTGTTAAACAGGTGTAACTGAAGATACTTTCAGATTTTCTAAGCAACACTATTGTCTTATTGACACTCCACCTAAACTGCTATTGCTTTTCCTTATTCCTTCAACAGCTATAGAACCTGCTATGCATAAGAAATCTCTTGCACAGACATCAGTTGTATTTTCCTTGGACCTCTTTTCACTGGTATTAAGACAACTTTGCATTTCTGTATAAAACTAAAAACCATCTACACTTTGCAGAATTTTGCTTTTCTATTAAGAAGTTTACAATGCGATATCAAATTAAAACAAAGACTAATCCTAAAAGAGGGACTCAAATCAAGTTGAAGCCTGGAGAAAAACATGAGAGTTATGCAAGAAACTTATTAATTATGGTAACAGACCCACAATCTGTATGGCACACAGTTTTTAAGCGTTATTAAACCTCAGCTACTTTGCAGAATTTTGCTTTTCTATTAAGAAGTTTACAATGCGATATCAAATTAAAACAAAGACTAATCCTAAAAGAGGGACTCAAATCAAGTTGAAGCCTGGAGAAAAACATGAGAGTTATGCAAGAAACTTATTAATTATGGTAACAGACCCACAATCTGTATGGCACACAGTTTTTAAGCGTTATTAAACCTCAGCTTTCTTGAATTTCTTTATATAATGTAATTATTCAAGCTCCAGTGAACCCTCATTACAATGTCACTGCTAACATAACTGAAGAAATGATCGTGTTGCCTACAGTTACACCTCACGGTTTTAAGTCAGAAATACTCTTGCTACGGTTGTCGCATTTTTACTCCACAAGCGTTCCCAGGTAAGGCATGCGAGTCGGCATAACAACAGTAGCTGAATCTGTAGGGGCTCCAGACAGGCTGTCAAACACTGTTGAGCAGGATGTGTGTTGTGACCAATGTGCACTGAACAAAATCTTGCTAATGGCACCGCTGCTTCTGACAGCTAAAGCATTTCATATGGGAACCAGCTGCACTTGAGGGAAAAAGCAAGGGGTGGGGGTCAGGAAAGTTCAGGTATTTAGAAAGAGGGGGAAGGTACAGAAAACTTTATTAGGCTTAAGTAACTCGGGCAACATTTCCCCTATTCCCTTCACTCATTAAGTGCTAATCAGATAAACTCAGCATACCATAGCTAACCGGATTGCTGCTACAAAAGAAAACAATGAAAAGCGAACAAGCTAATCCAGCACCTTGCAGTATTTCCCTGTCTGTGCGTGACAAGAAAGAGGGCCTTAGCTTAAACCAGTTCAAAGGCAGACTCCTACTTACAGCTAAAATCGCTGGGGAGGGAAATCCCAGTAAAATTTGTAATGAATGAAAACCAAGCTAACCTACTAACTTGAAATACATGTTATCTTTTCAAGGAAAAATTAAGTTTGTCTTTCATTGTATTATCATGAGGGGGGTGGGGG